TAGAGACAGACAGACAAGAAGACCAGACAGAGATAGACAGATGATAGATAGATAGATAGATAGATAGATAGATAGATAGATAGATAGATAGATAGATAGATGATAGATAGATAGATAGCTAGATAGATAGATAGCTAGATAGATAGATAGATATAGATGGATGGATGGATGGATGGGTAGGTACGTAGGTAGGAAGGTAAGTAGGATGGGTTTTTTTTTTTGAGAGAGAGAGTTTCTAGCCAGTTTTAAGGCAGAAGTCACCTACCAGAGGAGGGATCCAACTGGTAGTCATACAAGATTCCTTGGGAAAAAAACGTAATAAACACTCACCAGAGTTGAGCTTACGGTTCATATCCGGAGATGGGGTTGGCGATGGAAGGAAGTCTAAGTGAGAAGAGGTGGACTGAGTTTTTTCATTTTGTGCTGTGCTCGATTCTTTGACGAACCACCCAAGTGGGACGCCACAAGATGGTTGCTTGTATCGGGCGTGTTGCAAGGCGTCCATCATCCAACGCATTTCTCGCCAAATCTCTTCCATTTGCTGTCCAAGAAAAGGATCGGACATGAATTTCAGAGGCCTGCAACCACACACATCTACCGTAACTTGCCTGTCGTAGGCTCCCGATAGAAACCACAAGGATGTCAAAAGCCAAAGGAAAAGTTGATCTAAGAAACCTATATATGCTTGCTTCAAAATGAATTCGGGGTTCTTCCATCCTTTTGGGAGGAGCCACCTTTCGGGTCCAGTGCTAAATAAATATGTTACCTAGAGAAACTCTCATTCTTTGTTCACGCTGAGCCCCTTGGCTCCTTGCTCCACAATACCTGAATATAATCCTGAACTTGCTGATGCCGCTGCTTGGCAGTCGTTAGCTCTGAGTCCGAAAAGGCCTCTCGGAGGCTCTGTTGAGAAAGGAGAGATTCCAGCTCCAGAAATGCAGATACTTGGCAATACTGGCTAATGAACTCATGGTCGTAAATGAAGAAATGAACTAGAAAAGAAAGAGAAGGAAGGACATCGGACGTCATGAAAAGAAAAAGCATCAAAGAAGCAGAGGCCGATTCTTGCATTCGTTCAATCAAAAAGAATTTTTGATTTCTACTTTAAGCCGCGTTTGACAATAGACGTAGTATTTATTGGTGACCTCAAAACTTCTACAACTACAGCTTTGTATGTTAATTATTATTTGTTCTTTCCAGATCATTTTTTTCCTTGATTCAATAAACTACGCCTCTTCATACAAAATATGAAGGGCATGTTTCAAAGAGGAAAAAAAATCAATTTGAGTCAATTGTAAAAAATGTGATTGCAGTATATTAGTTTGAGCTTTGCACTTTAACATGAGATAGTGTGGGAAAATGCCTTCTTAACTAAAGAAGAGAGAGACAGCACGGTGTGTTTTGACCCAGGCTTCCTTAGAAAGCAAGAAGCAAGACCTTGGTCCCAGCAAAACCCCTTTTATTTACACGACTGTGAATTCCTTTCGTTCCCAGTCAGCAAAGTTTAGCAAACAGTCTTTCAGAGGAATGTTTATCCACACGCACCTTATCTCGTTTGGAGCGCTGCCAGATAACTAGTTTCCAAACACAGCAAAATTTGGCATGAAGTCTCTTATAATCCCAAACAGAACTAACCGGACCCAATGAATGAATTGTTTCCTGCAAAAGGCCACTCACTGTTCGTTCCTCTTTTGTTTCCTCTGGGAGGGGCCAAACACCTCCAAGGCGTGGCTTTACTCCTAAGTTGACCCTGCTTTCTTAATTGTTCTTGTCTTTTGGCAGCTCTGCGCATGCACACCCTGGGAACAGGCTCCAGCTGTTCCTCTGCCTCACTGCTGTCTACTCCCTCTCTGCCTCTGACGCAGAGCCCTCATCTGAGCTTTCCTCAGTGTCCAGGACTGGTCCATGCTCAGTGGTGGGTTCCGGATCCTGTCGCAACTGGTATGCTGTAACGGGGCTGAGTAGCCACCACAGGCATGTGTGCTGCGCACACATGTGCACCCACTACCGCTGCGACACTCCAGCTGCTCGGTGGAGCATCACGCAGGCTCCGTATGCCATGTGCGCAAATGGTTCGGTTGGCTCAAATACGGGTAAGGAACGAGAGCGGGCAGGTGGGCCCTCCAAAGCACCATTCCAGTACGGTGGCTGCTGATCCCAGCAGGTACTGGTGCGCCCGTATCGGGGGGGGGGGGGTTTGTACCGCCCGGAACCCACTACTGCCCATGTTCCTCCCAACCTCCTCACTATCCAGATACACCCATGTTACACCTATCCTCCACGAGCTGCACTGGCTCCCTATCTGTCTTCGAACGCGCTTCAAGGTGCTGGTTATCACCTTTAAAGCCCTACATGGCCTAGGACCCGGATATCGGCAAGATCGCCTCCTGCCACATACCTCCCAACAGCCGATAAGATCTCACAGGCTGGGCCTTCTCCGGGTACCATCGACCAGACAATGTCGTCTGGCAACTCCTCGGGGGAGGGCCTTCTCTGTAGCTGCTCCGACCCTATGGAACGATCTACCCCCAGAGATCTGGACCCTTCCCACTCTCTCGGCCTTCTGAAAGGCTACTAAAACCTGGCTATTCCGGCAGTCCTGGGGCTGTTGACCTCAGGAATGAGGTCCACCCCCGCCTAGATTGAGTGCATGAAGTGTTTTTTTTAAATCTGCTTTCTTCTCTTTTTTAATTTTTATCTTGATGTATATCTGTAAGCCGCCCGGGGTCCTTTGGGATTGGGCGGCATATAAATTCATTAAATTTGAATTTGAATTTTCTATCCGACTCTGCTGTCAGCTCTGCTGGCTGCCGGTGGACCACAACACAGTGATGTCACATAGGAAAAAAGACAGCAGAGAATAACATGATGCAATTTTGCCTTCAAGAAGGAGGATAAGGACAACTCACCATGGCCAATTCACCATGGCGATCTTACTACGGCCATCTTGCCACAGCCAACTTGCTGCAGCTAAATTGCCACGGCCATCTTGCTGCGGCAAACTTGCCACAGGATAATTCACCGTGGACATTTCCACGTGGGATAGCCCAACACAATCAATGTTGTCCACTGTCGTTTCTTCAACATTGTTTCCGTTTTTGTCAGGGCAAATAATGTCAAAGAAACAGTGGCTGGTAACATTGATTACGTTGAGTTATTATGCATGGAACTATCCCAGCGGTGAGCCATGCCGAGCTCTCTTGCGGTGAGAAGTTTGCAGTGAGATGGCCACAGCAAAACAACTATGGTACCGTATTTTTTGGACTATAAGACTCTCTGGACTTATAAGATGCACCAGGTTTTGGGGGAGGAAAATAAGGGGGGGGGAAATCTGCCTCTGCCTCCCAGCATCCATTCATCTGGCCTGTTTGCTGCAGCCCATTTGCCGCCACTGCCATGGACCGTTCACCGCCACCGCCCGTTCGCCATGGCTCTGTTTGCTACCGCGTATTCATGCCGGGCTGTTCGAGGCAGCTCATTCGGGGCCACCCGCTCGCTGCCGCTGCCCATTTGCCATTGCTCATTCAGCATGATCCATTCACCACCATCGCCATGTCCCATTCTAGAACAGCTGATTGGCACCGCCCCAACCCCCTCCCCTACTGCAATATTCGGAGTATGACACACAGACATTTCCACCCATTTTTTTTTGGGGGGGGTGCCTCTTATATTCCAAAAAATACAGTAAATTGGCCACGATGTGATGGC